ACTGTCCTCTGTCGTGTGGATTTCCAATTAGTGCTAGACATCTAGTTGGTTGCATCTTTATATCTTGTGAAGTCTGGTACCTGATTATCCTCGTCTAGATTTGCACTCTTTGTTGTAGTCACAGTTGAAGTTCATTAATCAAGAGATTGGGAAGCCACTGCCAATTTATTTAAATTACTAATTTGGGTGTGAATAAAAACGTGTTCAACATTTGGCATGACAAGAGTTTATATTCAAAGTCAACATTAAACTTTTTTGTAGTTTTCCTGATCAAGTCAGTGTATCAACAATTTCTCTATCTTGATAGCTTTTTTGAAAATTTTGGCCACTTGCCATTCTTTTTGGATGTGATTTTCTTAGTTATAACTAGAATCTTAATTTCCTTCCCTAATTATTAAAAAGAGAACTGAGTAAATGGTACATTCATCAATTCAAAGCTTTCCTGTCATACGGTTATACCATGGAAACATAATATTTCAGTATTTCTCTTTCCTCCTTGGGAAAATTACAAATTTCAACACTGCTTTAGAGGATTTTTATTTGAAAAATTTTGGTTCACTGTTTAAATATGCTTCCTAATTGATGGAACTCAATTCCCATACAGCATTCATGTTATAGGGCCTAATATTACTTTCTTCAGTACTGGGAGAAACTATTCTTACTTGTCACTGGCAAATATTACAAGTCTTGTGCACACTCCTTTCATCCTTCTCCCTCGTGTACTTTTCGAATCTTCTCATGTCTAATTTTTTGTCCTCTAATATATATTCATCATGAATGCAGGACCTACTAAAATTGGAAAGGCTCCAGAAGGAGCTCACAGAACGTTATGGGGACCAGTTTACTTTTGCTCAATGGGCTGCTGCGGCCAGCGTTGATCAGAAAACCTTGAGGGAGCGTTTAAATTATGGTATTCTTTGCAAAGATAAAATGATAAAGAGCAATATACGTCTTGTTATTTCTATTGCAAAATATTATCAGGGAGTTGGGATGAACCTTCAAGATTTGGTTCAGGTAATTATTTTCTTCGTTGGTCTTGATTATCTAACTTAAGGTGTTTCCCGCAAGAAAAACTGTAAAACTGATAGTATGATGTTTGATTCCTTTCTAACACTACATTTTTAACAAATTTTCATCAGGAAGGATGCCGAGGCCTTGTGAGAGGTGCAGAGAAATTTGATGCTTCAAAAGGGTTTAAATTCTCCACCTATGCTCACTGGTGGATAAAGCAGGCTGTTCGGAAGTCTCTTTCTGACCAATCCAGGACAATTCGATTGCCGGTAAAATTCCTGTAAAATTAATTTCTTTACAAGTAAACCTCATATTCCATTTTTCCTGTGCTGCGAAGGAAGATGTTACACAATTATACATTCTTGAAAAAAACCACCTGTTGTTCCATTTGGGTGTAGTACAATTTAATTTGTAATTTTGTCTGCACATAACAGTTTCACATGGTCGAGGCAACCTATAAAGTGAAGGAAGCAAGAAAGCAACTGTTTAATGAAAACGGTAGACAACCTGATAACGAAGAAGTTGCAGAGGCAACTGGGCTCTCAATGAAGAGGCTCAATGCAGTTCTGTTTACCCCTAAAGCTCCAAGATCGCTTGATCAGAAAATTGGGATAAACCAGAATCTCAAACCTTCGGTAAGTCCAAGTTAAATTTCCCACAAGTTCACGTTCTCTTGCTACTACTCGTTTCCAATCTTACCTCGTTTGGCTTGTCAATTTCAGGAAATCATTGCAGATCCTGAAGCAGAAACAGCCGAAGACTTGCTTATCAAGGAGTTTATGAAACAGGACTTAGCCAAGGTTCTGGATACTCTAAACCCGAGAGAAAAGCAGGTGATTAGATGGAGGTTTGGCCTAGAAGATGGTAGGATGAAGACATTGCAAGAAATTGGGGAGCTTATGGGTGTCAGCAGAGAAAGAATCCGACAAATTGAATCCTGTGCATTCCGTAAGTTGAAGAATAAAAAAAGAACAAAGCATTTGCAGCAATATGTGATTCCATAACACCTTTCTCGGTCTCGGATCATTTAGTTTCTAATAGAATCAATTTCCTTCTCGAGGCTCATTCATTAGCTGGTTGCATTGAGAGTTCCAAAATCTCTCCATTTTTTTCTCTATTTTCAGCTATAATATTACACCATGCTGAACTACAAGTAGCTTATGAATTGTACATTTTTGTGTTATAGTAATAAAAGACTTCTTTGGGAGAACCAATTTCTTATCAATTTGTTGTATCTCAGTTCTTATGCTTTAGAAAATGGGTCTTCGATTGTTCAAATTGGCTGAACTGATCCAACCACGTGTTCTTTCGTTAATCGGGTTGATGGGATAAATTCAAATTCTAAGAATTGGTTGTACCCATGAAAGTGTTTCCAGTTTTCTAGCTTTTCAGGCAACAGACTGGAATTCTAACACTAGAATTTTAAGGTGGTTTTGATGATGAATGCACTACGTCCATGAGATTGCGATGATTTGGATTAAAAACATGTTCTTCTCTTACTAAAAATGTAGCTTTTTTCAGGAGGATCACACTTTCATACTATTATGGAGAAAATCTTTGCTTTGCTTGTGTCCTTCTATGTTAAGAAAAACATGTTAACCTCGAACACCACTTAACAATGTCCTCAAATGTATATTATCTATGAAATCCAATCTCTAGACGTGATTGTACTTGTTTTTGGCTTTGGTTGTACAAGTTGTACGGATTTCACAATTTATCAATTATAAGAATGTTATCTAGTATTATTGGTGTTACAACACCGCCAATGTGGGTGTCATTACGTGACATGTTCAACTAAAACTTAGTACCACCTTTACTGTGTTTTAACATTAGCATTACTTGTCATCAATCATCATCATGTTGCTTGGGATCTTGGAATTGCCCAACAGTCTGGTGACATCTGCTAATCCCTCTTTGTTTTAGCAAAATATACTGGTCGACAGGAACATAATCATTGTCATAGTATTAATTTATCATAGAATTAAGCTGTGAAAATAAGTATAATTTGTTGGAACTTGGAAGTGTAGAATAGTATTGAAGATAGGCAGTCCTACGAGTTGAGCAACCGAACAAGGCCTCAACATTGTAGGGCACCAAATTTTTTTTTATAGGTGTGTGTAAAATTTTCATTATTATGTTAAGTTAAGGAGCACAATATTTACGAAAATAGAGTAAAAAAATTATATTACGTTAATATTTTTTAAAATTTAACATATTATTGAAAAAAATATTTTAAATTATCTATTTTACAAGCTTAATCCCAAATGCTAAATTAGCTTCATTAATCAATTACCTAACTAATAAACCAACAAACAGCCTATATTCCAAATGATTAAAGTGAAGAGTGAAAAGCAACTCAAATTCCTCTTTGTCATTTTCTTCTCTCCCACACTTTATAACTAACGAAGAACAGTCAAATTGAGAAGAGTATACTCTACCGTCAATCTTTGTTACTTGCTTTACAATAATATAATCTATATCGTAACATCGCCATTTTATTTGTGCCAATTATCCACTTGTTAATTGCTATTTCGTGATTTTTTGGTTCTAAAAGGATAAATTTTTGTTGAACGATAATTGATAAATAATTACATTCAATTTCTCCTCTTTGAGTTTTGCTAGAACATATTGATTACAAAAGTTTAATTAGTGAATTTGCTTCTAGAAATGTGAGAAGAAATACTTTTACATGATTTGTTGCATTTCAAGTTTTACACGTGACATTTGCCATTTTTGATGTCAAGGTTTGCTCATATAAAATTGTAAGAGGAGGATAGTAGCTTAAATGGTTCTTTGTTGATGACATGAATTTTAATGAAGTTCAAGAGGTGATTTTAAACTTTACTTGTGATTTTCGTGTGTATATATATATGGAAAATGCTGTGTGTACACACAGCCTTACACCCCCTTACATGAAGGGGGTCCCACGACATGTGGACCCCCCTTCATGTGAGGAGGGTGTATGCCTGTGTGTACACACAGCACAACCCTATATATATAAGGAGTTATAGCCATTTAATATGACTTTTAATATAATGACACCTAGACTGGCGTTCAACATCATTGATGTTAAATAATATTATTCAATTTTAAATAATAAATACATCTCATTTTTAACATTTTCAACTTTTAGATGAAGTAATTTACAATATAAAACCACCCAAGTTAATGGCTGAACCCGAGTTAACAGATGAACTTTTAACCAAGGGGTTCACACCAGTTGGGAATTTCAAGCTTCTCTAGCCATTCACAGTTGCATATCTAACAAGCTGAGAATTCTTTCGAGAACAGAACTACATAAGCATAAAACAATTGGAGAGTGTTTACAACTAAGGAGGAGCATAAACTTTATGCTAAACTGTCAAAGTGGTGTTGGACACTACCAATTTACCTACACTTGGGCATCGATGGCATTTCCTGCTCAAGAGCTAGTAGGATTTGGTCAAGTAATGCTACATGAAGACAAACTTCAAACCTCTGGTTTCAAATGTTCATGATGAAGGATCGAGAAAGGAATGGATTTTCATGAGGGATATACCTGAGGTTGGATCTATTGTTCCGAACTTGTTCCCCTAGTACCTTTTTGACATCTGGACATATCATTCCTTAGCAAATGGGAAGATGTCTACTCGTTTTCTGATACCTATGCACATTACACCTCAGCGTCTTCCCATTCTCTAAGGATAGTTGATGTGCCGAGGCGTTAAAATTGTATCGGGGTCAGGAAGTCCAGGACAACAGATTTAGGCTCAGATACACCTTTGCTGAAAAGTTGCAATATAATTTGAAAGCCTCGATCATTCCAGAATTTTTTTGGAGGCCTCACAGCCCCGGTGGCTAGAGCCAATCGAGAGCACTTTTTCAGTATGCCACCACCCGGCTACTAAGATCGTCCTAGATCATTAATAAGTTCATTCCAACATACACAATTTCAGAGCAGGTGACTAATTCTTCCTAATATGACATACAAGAGTACATTTCAAGCTGCATAGTAACCTTCTCACTTTGCTATTTGAACCAGTTTCTCAGTGATGTTGGTCCTAGAAGATTCCATGGAATAATCACATCTCAAATGAGCATAACACGTATGAAGGTGCAGTAACTATAGGCACAGCATCTGAAAATTTGATAATGCCACTCATACAAAAAATAAATTACATGGACTTTTAAATGTCAAAACAGCCTAGTTCTTTGGTATATTTACCCCAACAATCTTCGCCGGAGTAATGCGTAGTAGATTACCAGGCTTACCAGGAACAGCACCTTTGATCATCACAGCGTTAAGTTCATTGTCAATCTTGACAATCTTCAGCTTCCGAATCTTACTCTTAGTGCCTCCCATTCTTCCAGGCATTTTCTTACCCTTATACACACGTCCAGGAGTTGTGCCAGCACCAATAGACCCAAGTTGTCTATGACTCTTCGACCCGTGAGTCATAGGACCTCTTTTGAAGTTATGTCTCTTGATTCCACCTGGTACCAGAATCCAACAAGCTTTGAGTTAATTTCCAACTCCATAGACTATAAGAAACAAAACGAATAAAACACTAAGCTACAAAAAGGGGGGAGAGAATTACAGGAGTATGCCTACTGGATGCCAGGTAACCATCTAATAGCACTTGCTTAGGAGAAAAAGAAATGGTAGACACTGTTAAGTCTCATCATTCTATCACTGCATAAACATTGCTTACTTTTATGCTCTGGCGAACTTTAAAATTCAATCGAATAGTCTCCATATTTTCAACATTGTTTCAATCTGTCACTCTATTCTCATTCCATTTGAAAATGAACGATTTGGACAATGTGGCAGACTGAATCTTTAAATTTTCACAAAATCCTAATGGGAACCAATATCAAAAGTACATTGATGCTTCGAAACAATTTTGAAAGAACATATTCCAAAAAAAAATTGAAAGTTCAGTCATTGTTAGGAAACAGCTTTAACTGTTTCATTTACATTGCGGTACTCTAGAAAATTTTCAATTACACAGACAGATAAAAACATATATATAAATTGGTACCTTGAAATCCCTTCCCAATGGTGGTACCAGAAACATCAACCAAATCCCCTTCCTTAAACAATTCCTCAACCGAAAGTCTCTGATTGGGCTCAAACCCATCAACGGCCTGGAGCCTAAATTCCTGCAAGTGGCGCAAAGGGATAATTCCGGACTTCTCCAGATGCCCCATCTCCGGTTTCGTCAATTTTCGGTCTCGGACTCTCCTATACCCGACCTGAACCGCATTGTAACCATCAGTGAGCTCGGTCTTGACCTGAGTAACAATGTTGCCCTCCCGGAATCCGACTACGGTTACGGGGATTACAGCCCCGGAATCATCGAAGAATGACATCATGCCTAGCTTCGTGCCCATTACACCAATTCCAGCTTCCATTGATGCAGAGATGAGTGGGGTTTTCTTTGAAGTGGTGGCAGAAAGGGAGAGGTTGGAGAGGCGCTTAATGGGGAGGCGGAGGAGAAGCGAGGAGCGGAAGGACAGGGAGGAGGAGGAAGAGGCATTGGTGGCGTAGGCTGTGGGGATTGTGGGGGAGAGGGAAGTAATTGACATGGCGAGAGTTGGACGATAGGCAGAGAACGGCGAGGGGGGGAGGCTCTACTTATCCACTGCTGCACAGTTGGAGCTGGGATCTGTTGCGGTCGGGTGTATGGGCCAATTTCCACTTCTATATTTTGCTTTAATTCTCGATTAAAAAATTTTCTCCACATTATCATACAAATCAAAATTTGTCCATTATTTGACATTCCAAACACGACAAATTTTCCATGGACCTCTCTTAAGTAAAATTAATGGCACTTTTAGCAAGCTCTTCAGCTACTTTATTTGTTTCACGTAAAATAATTGCTCGTGTTCTAGTAACTTGGTGCGATCGATCTTCTTTAGAATATTTTCATAAAAAACAATTGTTAGAAATGATGCTTTACTCATTTACTTTTAGGAGGAAGAATTATTTCGCAATTTGTCCCTTGTTTAAAGATGCATTAATCTTTTGCGAAAATCATATATATCTAAAAGGTGGCGTAGGCTGTGGGGATTGTGGGGGAGAGGGAAGTAATTGACATGGCGAGAGTTGGACGATAGGCAGAGAACGGCGAGGGAGGGAGGCTCTACTTATCCACTGCTGCACAGTTGGAGCTGGGATCTGTTGGGGTCGGGTGTAAGGGCCAATTTCCACTTCTATATTTTGCTTCAATTCTCGATTAAAAAATTTTCTCCACATTACCATACAAATCAAAATTTGTCCATTATTTGACATTCCAGACATTACAAATTTTCCATGGACCTCTCTTAAGTAAAATTAATGGCACTTTTAGCAAGCGCTTCAGCTACTTCATTTTATTTGTTTCACGTAAAATAATTGCTCGTGTTCTAGTAACTTGGTGCGATCGATCTTCTTTAGAATATTTTCATAAAAAACAATTGTTAGAAATGATGCTTTACTCATTTACTTTTAGGAAGAAGAATTATTTCGTAATTTGTCCCTCGTTTTAAGATGCATTAATCTTTTGCGAAAATCATATATATCCAAAGCAGAACACTAGACAAGTATGGATAAATGGTGGTTTTACCGACAAACGAAAATTTCAGAAAATCTGTTATTCGATTTATTGTGACTAGCAAATAATTTTGGTGATCGCAATAAATTATTTTATGTAAGGAAGCAACAGACATACTGTAATCTTATAGAATATGAGAGCTTCACCATTTTCAATCAAGCATCAGATATCGAAAGCATACACAGCTTAAGCCAACAAATTTGCTAATCCAATACTCATCAGGCACTGATCTTTCTAACCCTCAATAGAAGATTAAATGAACAAGACCAACAATTTATTTCTTCTAATTCTAACTGTATTTTTCTTTTTTCTTTTTTCTTTTTTCTCTCTTTTTTCCCCTTTTTTTGATTTTTCAAGGCTGAGGATCTGTTGTATATAACTTAGTTATCTAGAAAAATTAAAGAACAAAATTCAATACAACAAACTCCCTTCTGCGTCAATTCAAGAAGCTATAAAGGTCCTCCTCCTCCGATGTCTCCTTGGCTTGTAATAATCTGGGATATATAATTTTCATTAAAGTTCTTTTCTATTAAACGCACGTGAACTATAGAATTGCAAGCCATGGTCTAGTTTCTGGTTTCATACCTTATTTTCAACTAACGTGTCATCAGGAACAACTATTTTCATTCCTGGTCTGGCTTGTATAATGACCTTTCCCTGAAAACAGCACACCAACATACATAAGAGAAGAGTCTATCAAACAAACAAACAAACAAAAAAATGTCTACTTTTTATGCTAGGACCAAATAGCCTTCCAATCTCCATACCATCATCCTTTTCCGTGGGAGGCAATGCTAGATTGGGTGGCGATTTTATTGGGCTGAGCTGGATTTGAACCAACGTAAACATATTGCCAATTAATATTACAGTCAGTCTCCATTAACAAATGGGTCTCATTGGTAATCCATGATCAATATCCTTTCATAGTAAGGGAATTTGATTCTCCCTGCTGCCTCTTTGAAACAGAGATGTCGTAAACAGCTAGATGATGGGGACTGACTTGGCAAACCGACCTCATACTATGATCATGGTATGAACAATTTAAGAGAATCACATCTTATTTAATGAACTGCACGTAAAACTAAAAGGCTATGGGTATTTCGCTAGAGGGGAATGAATAATTAAAACTAGTAAATTTTTTCATTTGTTACCCTCTATCTTTCTATTTGTATGTTCCAAATCTAATATATAGACGAGTAATGTTAAAAGAATTCCTCGTTATATGTACTCATACAGGATTACAGGTAAATTGATCACTTTTACTAGGGCTGGACAAAGCTCTCGAACCGAACCGGATCTAACCAAACCGAACTGAATCAAACCGAGCGGTTCTTCTCAAGTTAAATACCCGAATGAATATCTGAATCAAGAACCGACGAGTTCCATTCGGTTTTCGATTCTAGATCAAAAATCGAATCTCTCTAATTTTTTAGATTTATTTATTTTAAATAAATCAAATTATTTTATTTTTTCTAAATAAATTTATTAACAAATTAATTTAGCTCAAACCAAAAAATATAATTTTCCTACTTCTAATTTCCAGTCCTAGCCCAATTTAATCAAATTGAATTAAGTTTCAACCAAATCTGTTATTCTACTGTGGTAACGTTTCTATCGATCTGGAGAAATCGAATTAAAGCTTGATTGTGCCTCTTTTAGGGCTGGGCAAAACTCCCAAATCCAACCGAAACTAGTAGTTCTTCTTAAATTAAATGCCCAAACGGGAATTTGAATCGAAAATCGACGAGTTCGTACGGTTCTAAAACAAGAACCAAGTAACCAAATAAGAATCGAATTTTTCCTAATTTTTTAATTAATTTTTTTAAATAAGCCAAATTATTTGTTTTTCCTAAATAAATTTGCTAAATAGTTAATTTTCTCAAACCTAAAAATATAATTTTTCCTATTTCTAATTTTCAATCCAAGCCAACTTAATCAAATTGACTTAAGTTTTATCCAAATCCGTTATTCTACAGTAGTGTTATTTCTACCGTTTCGAATAAATCGAATTGAAACTTGACGTCTTTTAATTATTGTGAGATCTCTATCTTCCTCTTCATTATGTGATTTTAACAATCAAATTTATGAAGAACTCAACAATGGATACATTATTTTATAAGAATTAAGACCGAACATGTCATTAGTTAAATTAATGAAATTTTATAAATATTAAAAAAGTAATTATAATACGGAACCGAACCGAACGATCCCATAATTAAATTTGAATCCAATGATTCCACTTACCAAATACACGAAAATTTTGGGTTCAAATATATTCTCATTAGAATCGAACCAAATCAGACCATACTAAGCCTTAACCTCTTTTAATTATTGTGAGCTCCCTATTTTCCTTTTCATGTGATTTTAACATTGAAATCTTTGATGAACTCAGCAAAAAGAAACACAAAAGACACATAAGATTGGACTACGTTATTTTGTAAGAACTAAAATTGAACATGTCATTAGTTGAATTAATTTAACTTTGTAAATACTAAAAAATTTAATTGTAGTACAGAACTCAAAAACCGAATAGAACCGAATCCAAACGGTTCAATAATTAAATTTGGACCTGACGGTTCCACTTACTAAATTTTCGAAAATTTCTAACCGGACCATGTCCAACCCTAACTTTCACCCTAGATTATGGATTTCCGATCACCATAACATGTTAGATCTGTTGATCTTAAAACATAGCTCTCAACTCAGCCTCTTAAGCTAGATTATATAAGCTCCACTAAGTATACATACTTCAAGAGTGTAGTTTCAGGAATTCAGGGAAGTTGATCAGGATCAATGATCCAAACCAGAGGTCAAAGGTTAACTGAACTTATGTTTAGGTCATTGGAGTTTGGTTCATATAGGTCCATCCATTAGGCAACTATATAATTGTAGGCTGTACATTATCAGCAATGGAGACTGGATTGGGGGAATCAGGGAAACTGGGGCGAGACAATGTAAAATCATCTTACGTGTTCATGTGTCTAGCCTAATTCTTGGTTCAAGGAAAGGTGCTCATACACATGTAAAAACTCCCTTAGGAGAATACTCGCAAAAACTAAAGGTTTGATGTGGTAATTGCATCACGAAGTTCATGCTTTCAAAAAGGGGGGCGGGGAATAATAATAATAATAATAATAATAATAATAATAGGAATCTCACGGCAAGTGTTGTATCTCTCTTCACACTAGTGATTTGGATGTTGCAACTCGAGCATTTTCTAGGTTCAATTGTTTTTACTGAAAAACAGTATTGTTTTTTGTTTTAATATTGCCACTCGTTCTCTGTTTTCAGTTTTGAAAAACGATATACCACAAGTTAAATGATAGCCAGTCATATGCAAATTAAAAAAACTAATTCATCTTTAAAATTTCTAATACCAAAATCAGGAATAAGGGTCACGGCGTAAATGCACCAAGAAAAAAGAAAACGCAATGAGATCCATGCACCAAGAAAAAAAAGCACAATGCCCCACATAGAGCTAAAGAAATAATGTAAAGGCATACAATAGGGGCATGCACAAATGCATTCCATGATCCTGACTATCTCAATATTTTTATTGATGAGGCATGATAAGCATTTTAGCGCTGCCAATCATGGCTTCATAGTAATTTGCTTAAGATGGCCATACTGCTCAGTCATGGAGTAGATGAACTGGATTGCCATAGTTATAAACTAGTTGATTTATTCAGTATTTATCTAAGTTGGCCAAGAAAGAGAATTATCAGGTTAAATTGTCATTAACTATGGGAATTCTAGTCGAGGAGAAAATTTGCTACCTTGAGAGTTATACCAGTTCCAAACCACACATCCCCAGTCACCTTCAAGCTGACAAGTCCAACAACACTAGGTATGGACTTGAAGCGAGTCCGGAATTCGTTGATCTGAGAAGGGGAAAAAAGAAAAATTGTAAACTCTAATGGAAAATGAAGCGGGAATTTTGAACATCAGCACAAAAGTAAGGCACCAAGTTCCAAAAGCCTTTTACATTTTCAAATTCTGTTCCTAATTCAATTATAGGATCGGCAAGATTTTCTCTGGCTGTATTTCGAGTCAGAATGCCATCAGTAAAGGTGAATAAATCTGACTGCACAAGCACACAATGGTTACAAATATATGATCCGAAAAACATATGCAAAAATGATAATATTAAAGCTGAGACTATTATAACCTGTAGCAGAAGTAGATCGGATGTTGCTTCAACTGGAAGATATCTCGATTTAGGAACTTTTATAGCAAATGACTGATCAAAGAGCTGAATCACACATACAAATGGTGACATTAATAAGGAAAAAGAATACTGTTACAGAGAAACCAATCGAGAATGGAATCACATAATAAACACAGAAAACCAAGATACCAAGATGCCACGCTAAAGAAGACTGTCATCTACTACTTCATAATAGATCGACTATGCATTGTGCATGCATGTAACAGATAAAACCATGTTACCTTTGAAATGGTCAAAGACTCTTTTGCTGCACGTCGTTGCACAAGGGTTTCAATAAAGTTCATATTCATCCACCTATACAAGAATTAGATAGACAAGGAGTGAACAAAATAGTATCTTTTTTCTGGAAAAAGAAAAGAACAAGGCACAAAAGTTAGCTAGAGCAATAACTTACATTGTATGAGTGAATTTCAGATTCTTCTTTGGCATTAGGTTCTAAGAGAACAATGCAAATCACAATAAAAACAAATATCAATTATTTAGTGCAAATTTAGATGTATTGAAATATAAAGAAAATATTTACAGAAGCATTTGCCACAAATATGGATATAATCAGCAACATAATTTCCATGTCAAAGCTTGCAGTTCCAAGAGAATAAAAACTACAAATTTCAAGTTCACCATATTGCCAAACAATGGAAAGCACGAATACAGCTATAATTTCATGATACAAATATGTCAATATGTCAATTCTTAACATTTTCAAGGTATGAAAATATATTGAAGCTGAATAGTTGATACCTATAAAAAAGAATAATGATATCTAGCACTAGTGATGCTAGAGTGCTAGTCTAAGCGGCCACACTTGATAGGTTAATTAAATGAATCATGAGACATTGCAAGTGAATCAATTATTTAATGCCATGCAATTGTCGCCTAAATTAGTACTTTACACAAATGGTGCTTAATAACATTTTCACTTTAAACTTTTCAAAAACATTTTAAATGCCAATTATTAATAGTTGTTAGAAGGTTGAATTTTATTTTGAAAAGTATAATTGTTCAATACAGACACATCAATTCAGCATGCATTGTATCCCCTCTATATCCAAAATTTCGAGACAGCTCTTTTATCCTTTTCTGAGCATATGCTTGAGTTGCAAATCCAGGTGTATAGACATTATAGAGGGGGATTTTAAATAGGAGTTAAATATTTATAAAGGAGTCCTTAAAAAGTACCCCCATAAGCGTAAATATACCAGGCCTAAATGGCCCCAACTTTAGGTACAAAGCATTAATTAAATATTACTAGGCAACATTTGCTAATTTTTCTGTTACTCTTAAAAAAATAAATAAATAAATGATAGATGTATTCCTACAATCGCCCTTTAACCAAATGTTGGGAAAATCATTTCAGAGAAAATCTTTTATGTCGGTATTAGTGCTTATCCATAGATCTTATAAAGATGGATTCAAGTTCCTACACAAGTTCTTCTGTAATAGTCTAAGCTTTAGGTCTCCATTCCAACGTGTTTGTTTGTTTAACTAACTAAACAAATTTCTACTAATCTGCAAAAAAGAACTCTCATATTGCCTCAGATTAATTAAATAAATAACTTTTGAATGGAGATGAGATTTCTAAGAAAGCATAATAAATGTAAATCATAACCAACCTCAAACTCTTCTTTAATAGACGAAAGGTTACTTTCTTCTGATTCAGAGGATTTAGGCATCACCTGAAAACTATGACAACTTCGTAACAGTTATCAATTAAAGATCAAATAAAATGAAGCCTTATGTGCTTACCTCCACACAATACTCAATATTGTTCTGAATCAAATGATTTAAGATTTCTACAATATGCATTAAAGAAGCTCAATTATCAGTAGTCCAGATTGATTAATATACAAAAGATGTATGACAATGTCATATATGATCAATGAAAATTGAATATCGGGAAATGAGAATAATTGGAAGCACATAATGAGGATACTAGGGTCAACAATATGACCAACATTGTCTGAATTCAACACCAGGATATACTCTTTGCCCTGCCCAAAAAAAGAAAACACATCACATGTTACATGTTTATGCCATAAACAAAGAGCATAAAAGGTTTCAAACTTTCTGAGCAAATAATGTACAAAGACCCAGGAGAGAAAATTTCTACCTGAGCCAACAGTACATCAATTTTTCCATCGTTCATCAGTGAGGAGAAAACCTCAGCAAGGTTTATAGAATTCCTTCATAAGAAAATGAGTAAAATGATTAAAATGGGGAATGTCTGAAGATAACAAGTTGATGATTACATTAGCAAAGTCATAAAAGGTGAATTATTAGTGTGTAAACAAGATTTCAGCACAAAAGTACTAATATTTTAAGAGAGAGTTACATCAAGAATCTTTCAATTAATTCACGATATACTATTTCCAGGGTCCAAGACCTAAAAACGTTTCTTAGAAATTCAAACATATTCACAATAACATAAGGGTTTTTCTTTTGAATAAGTTGGAAAATAACATACATTCCATCTTGGTCATCCTGTTTTCCAGCTGACGCTGGTGGAAGATCATTGATGTTTCCTTGGTGGTGTTGGCTCTGGAAAAAAAGGTGTCAGCTTCCCAAACATCAAATGATAAATAAAGTTCATTAACAAAAGCCTGTTTCAAATGCTGAATGCATCAAACACACATATGCACAAGAGCATCAGGATACAGAACCTGGACAAGAGAATGAATGTTCTTATTAGAGTGCCTTTCCAGGACCTATCATATAACAAGAAGCAAAAATCAGCTCTGATAAATTAAGTTCCAACGACGAATACATATATACCTACATACATACATACTGTAAGTATAAAGTTACCTTCAATACACCATCATGTGTATTGGGTGCATTCACCAGAAGCAGAGGAATGACGCATCCATACTTGGAATTGAAAGACTAAAAAACAGTAGACCATTTTTAAGTACAATAAAATGTATTGAACATTAGATTGCTCAAAATACATACCAAAGAAGGGAGAGAAATATCACCTCAATTTGATTAAGAATCAAATCCAGACATGTCAATCCATCACAAACTTCCATAACAGACCTGCATAATACATTATATGGGAAGCTACTAAGGCATGCTGACAGAGAAGGGTCATAAATCGAGCATGTAAAGTCACGATTAGACATTTGGTATTTAAAGTTTCATAAACCTATCTTTCGATACAAAAAGAACATGAGCTAAAAGAACTCTATTGAAAAATGAAATTATTCGTGCAAACTACTAATAATTTTTTTCAGTGCTTCAATGCTTTGATTAAATATACAAACCCCACAAGATATTTAAATACAATAAAGATACTCAATCACATAGTTGGGAAAATGACGTAGTACATCACAACTACATTAATAGTTTCCTACAACAATTATGATTCACATTATGTAGTAGTTTACCTTTTCAATTATGTTTATCTATTTAGTTTCTTGTATAGTTGTAATAGGACTATAGCTTTTATTTGATTAGGATTATAATTTCAATTAGTTTTAATTTCCTAATACTATTAAAAGTGGGAAAAAATCTTGTCTATAAATATAGAGGTATTGTACACTTTTCAATACATGACATGATTGTTCAAATATCATTTTTATTTATTACATAATTCTTATTACAAGAATATCATAATACTTTCGCACCAAAATTGGCATCAAAGCAAGGAAATTGTCTTAATCTGATGGCTGACGATGGTCCAGGTGAGAGTCGAATCCTCGACGATGAACAGAGGCTCGACAAACTCGAACAACGAATTGAAGGGATCGACGAAACCCTTCACAACATTACGTAGATGTTGACTGCATTGAGCCTTGAAAGGAATCGCGAACTCATGGAAAAGTAAGTTGACAAGAATTAATAGACTTTAATTGTTACGAATATTAGTTATTTCAACAAGCATAGAACATGGCAACATGTGGATGGAGAATTTCCTTGAGTTCAAGCCAAGTTCGAAAACACACAAGTTATCAAGGATTCTTTTCTTCAACAAAACTCGAGAACAAGTGATTCTTTAAGTGGGAGTGATGATGTGGTACATCTTAACTACAATTAATAGTTTTCTACTACAATTATGATTCACATTATCTAGTAATTTATCTTTTTAAATATGTTTATCTATTTAGTTTTCTTGTATAGTTGTGATAGGACTTGATCTTTTATTTGATTAGGATTATAGTTTCAATTTTCTAATACTATTAGAAGTAGTATTAGAAAATAATATTTCCTATAAAATATAGAGGTATTGTACACTTTTCAACAACAATCAATTATTATTCAATATATACTTGACATGATTGTTCAAATATCGCTTTTATTTATTACATAATTCTTATCACAAGAATTTCATAACGCATCCGCACCAAGAATATAACATATTTTGGTGTGGTCGAATATTAGTGATTTTACTATGAAGCAAATATGTGGGCTCATAAATTAGATTGCATATGAATAAAAAACATGTGCATTGTTAGGTTTCCTGCATATTAATCCAATGTCAGGAGCCAGATATGTTGATATTTTTATTAAACATGTGGATAAAGCGCGCACATGTTGAGTTAAAGAAACAAAAGTGGTATAGAGATGTCTAGATGTTTCTGCACACGTATGTATATGCGTAGATCAGGATACTGGCGAATTTTAAGGGATGCAAGATAACAGAAATAAGAGTTTCTATTGCACTTATAACCACGAACCATGTACAAAATGCAAATGAAAGTTAGCCTATGTTTGTGCACCATTTTTTCCACAGACTCATTTTTCCAAAACTCATTTTCAACCACATATTCTCTCATAAAATAATTTCACACGTAAATCCAAAATTTTTCCCCAAAAAATAGGGCTCAAACAGGGGTTTAAAAAGGCAAAGGAACAATATGTCTGTATATATGCACATGTCGTGTCTAAAGCCATTTTACAAATTGGAAACCCTGCTTCAAAACAACAAAAGTGCAGCACAAATATATTGATGCACAGAATATTAATTGCTTCTCTTTTTTTTTTTTTTTAACAGAAATTTCAAATGCTTCTGATTTCACTAGCTGGCGAATACCCAGAAGCAAGAAAAATGAGACAGAACATGAGAGGGAGAAGAATGTTTCAGAAAGATGGGAGAGAGATATTCATTACTTTCGGTCAGGGACAGTTTGATGAAAGAATGTAGGAGAAAGTCCGAAAGTAGATATATATAGCAGTAATACATGTGCTTGCATGTAAACAATAGTCTTAATTCAATAACTAAAGTTGCAACCAGAAAATTGCATCTTATCTTCATTCAAAATATTGCATGTCCATCTAAAATGCAAGAAAATCCTGATCCATTTAACAGTATACAATATAATTTATCCTGGACAGCTTAATTTATATGAAGAATGTTTTGAATGAGATACAAAATAGCGAGCATAAAAATATGAAAGGTCCAGCACTTCACCTTTCACATCTAAAAAGGGCCGTGAACAATGAAGATAACATTTTTCCCTGGATACTAGAACGAACAAAGATTATCTTGTTGTAGCTTTTTTTTATTTTCCTCAGCAAGTCCAACTTTTATTTTTCTCAGCAAGTCCATTTTAATCTCAACAGTTATCATAAAAGTTAGATTAGTATCCAAAGCACATACACAAGTCTTGCTCTAAGACTAATTTATCTTGAATACTGCAGTAGTACTGGAGAAATTAATTGATATTTACTCAACTTCATTAAGACTTGCTGCAGTTTCTAAAGACAGTTGAAAACTGAACTTCATTAAGACTTGCTGCAGTTTCTAAACACAGTTGAATCTATATCATAGTAGAGGTTTTTTACTCCAAAATGAATGTGCACTCTGCTTCAGTGAAGCATGTACCTGACTGTGCATTATGTGCTCAAAACCCAAGAGGCTTGGCACCGGTGACTCACTTCTACTTCAGTGTTAAGTCAAATAACTATAAGTCAATTGTGATATAGGTGCCAACCAGATAGCACCATCAACAAAGGGATTCTGAAGCCTTCCTCATATTAGCATAAAGTAAGTGTTAGGAGGAATAGTTTATTCAGGAACACAGAAAAGAGGAAATCAATTAAAGATTACATTTGGACATTGCTTCAGTATAGATGAATTCATAATTGATTTCAAAAATGGAAAAATAAACTTCATTTTCAAAAGTATATTGTATACCTAATTAAGCCAAGAGCACAAGTGTCAGACAGTAGTTTTACTCTCTTCCAAAGTCACAAGGATCAAATCTAGTTGTATTAAGCGTCCAGTATTGTCAAACAATGAAGCCAATCCTTTATAACCGTATAAGATATCAATTTCAAGAAATATACACCAATAAATCAAGTGGATGTGCCACCATGTCAGTTCAACTAGTTTTGTCCTATGAGCTATTAACCATTCTGGGTACATAACAATATAAATTTGTGTCGCATATATACTTACTTGGGGCCATTAAAGCCCATCTGTGTCCCCAGGCTTCCATTAAACTTTAATACAACAAGTTTGTCCAAAAGCTGCTTAGTTTCCAAGATATCTGCAGAAATTGAAGAAATAAGAATGACAAGTATATCAAAAACGAGCTGAAAATGGGTAAAGATATAAACAGCATATGTCATGGTTGTAAAGAAATGACTTATTCAAGAAATTGCTAATTTCTTAAAGACTAACTAGTAAGATTAAGAAAAAACAGCTTAATAAGAACTTAAAAGAATAATGTAATATTGGGCACTGAAGGACTAAAAGCAGAGAAAGACCCACACAAGAGGTAAGTGTGCGACATATCATTTGATAAGTACCCTTTAAGTACAAAGATTAGTTTAAAATAGGGCAATACCGACAAATTAGTTGCAACATTTAGAAAAAGTAATCTAATAACATAAACTTTTGTTAACAGCATTATCGAATGAAAGTTTGTTAAGCTTATAATAATAGCTGCTTCAAAACAATCCCAACTACAACATACTTTTGTCTACATTCAAAACAAAAAGAGAAAAAAAAAAAAAGGATGTTTTGTTTAGGCTGGGGGAGGACAAACATAACTTTCATCAAACTATTACCTTCTGGAGCGGGTTGCAATTTCTCATAAGGAAGAACTGAGATTTTTTCCTTTGTAGCAGTCCTGTCAATTTGTTGAACATCATCTCTTCCACATGCAATTTCCATCAGAACAAAAATGTAAGTAAAAATCATTATAACTGAATGAAAACATTAAATCAGAGGTAAGATTAACTAAAAGGGGGGTTCATATCAAATATCAAACTAACTTACTCTTGATGAACAGAAAGCGAATCACTTGGAATTAAAAAATACAAGATACAGTAAGGTGAACGGACAACTATAATCAACAGTGACTAAAGAATACAAAAAATCTCTGCAATCATACTAACACAACGTAGCACAGCATTCTCCACAAAAATCATGAAAGAGAACAGAAATCATTGTAATCCTCAGTTATGTAAATGTAACTGCAATGTTATAAACTCATCCACAAAATTAGAGTATTGACGAAATAGTCAAAAACATACCAGTATACCGGATTGCTATCAAAAGAATATTCATATTCTGAAGCCGTAATTACTCAATAAAAATTTCATAGAAAAATCAATGAAGTAGTATTATAATAAAGTCTAACTATTATTGTTCAGTCATGAATGGATGAAACCGAAAACACATATGTTTACAAACTCACATGAGTTACAATAATCTAAAACCCAATGAACTGATAATCAATAATGCTGAACCAATCCGAAATCAGTACTCCTAACCTACCAACCTCAACAATTTCTACAGTATATAACTCGAAAATTTAGCATCCAGCAAAGCAAATAAAACTACTATTAAGGTGATAATTCTCATACCGTGATCTGTATTTATCCTCCTTCTCCACCAATGCAGCCTGAGACCTCTTCTGTTCATACAAAATAGTCTTGGTGATCAAATTACAGAACAAGTACACAAACTGCACAGAATCATTAGCCGGCACAGGGTATGTAATCTTCTCATAAGTATCGGACGGCATACTCGAATCCACCAACCCAACAATGGGAATCTGCAGCCTGGACGCCTCCTGAATCACTGAGCTTTTCCTCTCCGTATCAAAAATCACAATACAATCCGGCGCCTGAATTGCACCAAGGTTCAACTTCTTATTTCTGCCACGAAACTTTTTTGGGCTCGAACTGTTTGTTAAAAAGCCTCCAAGACGCCATGTGGTGTCGTTCTTGATCCCAACGGTCTGGGTCATTTGGGCAACGATTTCATCGAAGAGAGCGTTGGTGTTAACGAAGAGGAACCGCGCATTGTCACGGGCTAAGTGGCCGATGAAATTGCAGGCATTTCGGAGGGAAATGAGGGTCTTGTCAGAGTCAATAATGGACATGCCATTGCGAGTGCCCTCAGAGAAGATCTTGAAGTGGTGGGTTGTTACACGGCGACCTAGATGGGCGTTTGTGCTCAGCAGTTTTTGGATTACTACTGAATGTATTGTCATTTTGGGAATTGAAATGAGGATTTTTTTGGGTTTATGATTCTGATAATATTGGGGGTATAAAAGGGAGGAGAGAGGTGGAGGGTTTAAGCAGCGGCGAGGTCACGGAGAAACGATACACCGGAGAAAGCCATTACACGGTACAGGTTATGCTGCGTGAGGTACAATAAGAAGATTAGCAGAAAAGGTCCCCAATCCTTTACAACTAATATACTTAGATCCTCAAACTTCTACCCGGAGCATTTACATCCTGACATTTCATTTTTTTTTTTCTAACATGAACGATTTTATCCTTTCTTAAAATTAACAAACTCAAACTATATTAATGGCATGCTTGGGAATGTTTAGATTTTGTATGTGTTTATAATTTGTAAGCCCTACAAAAATGTATGAAGAATAATAATCTAATAACTAGTTACAAATTCTATCAAATATCTAACTTCTTATAAAAAAAAAGGGGAAGGAGATGACACTGTTAATTGAACAGTAATTGAATCTCATGTTACTATACAAAATTCAAAATGACGTTTCTTTTTTTTTTGGTCTCCTTATTTCCATCACGCAACCCTGTGGCTTCCTCTATATCTTAAAGCAGCCTCCAATGCTTATTTCCTTCATTCTCCACGACCACGACCACGACCTTGACTTCGACCTCGACCGTACAACTTCCCCTTTCTTCTATTCATTTCTTCTTCTCTTTTTTCTATTTCATTTTCCTTTAATTTCGTTTTCTCGATGGTTGGCATTCTAGAAGTTCTAACCATCTATTTTTGTTTTCTTTTACAGAGGCTTTCCATCATAAAACAATCGAAAAAATTATTGAAACAGGGGTTTTTGGTAAATATAGATTTTTGCTATGAATTGAATATATGATGGTTTGATTTTACTGTGTGGTTCTAGGTAGTTTTTTTTTAGAGGGTATTATTCCCGAAAGATTAATGATTTTATTTTGTTTTACGAGGCAAGCAAAAGATGAAGTAGTTATAATGGATCGCTTGGGTTGAAAAAAAGCCCACGTCTTCGGCCATTGAAGATGGTGAGTTCGGATTTTGAATTTTTAATGATTTTAGTTTTTCAATTTTCATTTCTGTTGTTGAAAGGTAAATAGTAGTTTTAGCTTATTGTTATTTCCTCAGCGTGGTTAGTCAAATAGGTGAAAAGAATATAATAAACTAAAAAAATAAATAGCCAACTAGTTTGATAGTTTGAAGCTGAAGAAAACTATAGAGAATAAAAAAAGAAGAATAATAAACAAAAAAAAAAAGTAAAAAAAGAAGGCAATTGAAATCACTTGGTGGGACTCATGGGGGAAGCTTCTTTCTACAAGGTAGATTGTCAATTTTCACTTTGTTTCATTACTTTGGAAGCTTGTCATTCTTTGGGGTTATGCATTGTGACATCAAGAGAATTTCTTCTTGTTGATAGAAGGAGGAGAAGAATCACTTCCCAAAGCAATTAATTTTGGTTTATCCATATCTTGGAGCTACTTTCCAATGCTATATTTTTTTGCGATTATAATTAAGATTTTGTCATTGAAAAAAAAAATCTCCGCACTATGTGGCGGGATTTGGTTTCTCCGCACAGTTCGGAGAGATCAATTGATCTTTTCGAGCTATACGAAGAGATTTTTTTTTTTTTTAATCGGTATCATTACTTGATAAGTGTGCATTTGTCTTCTTTTCTTTGGTCCATTTTTTATATACAATTATGTTTAGTTTTCCTTGTTTAAACCCCATTCTTTTGGAAAACTTTCCTTTTCAACAGTGTTTTGATATCATTTTAACCACACATTCTTCAATAAAATAATATTATACGCAAATTCAAATTTTTTTAAAATTTTTTAACCACACATTTCTCATCAATACACTATTTAAAAATTTATTCTTCCAAAAAAAAATGGGGCTCAAACAAGCGCATAGAATGCTTTAAAAATTAATCATTAATAATAATTATTAAGTTAAAAAAAATACACTGAAAAAATTATACAAATCAAATTTCTCAAAAAATTAGTTGCAAAAAAGTAAACAAAATGCATTTACCTATTTTTAGTTTCATTTGATTTACTAATTTAATAATTTAAATGAACAAAAAAAAATTACAAATGCTGTGCGAAGTGTGTGGAGTCTCTACACAATTTGTGTGCAGAGACTCCGCATAATTTTTGCAAAGACTCCGCACTGCAAAGACTCTGCACTGTGCAACGTCTCTGCACAATTTGTATAGAGACTTCGCATTATGCAGAGCCTCCGCACAAGTGTGCGAAATCTTTGCACAATTTGTGTAAAGATTCTGCACTATACGGAGACTCCGTACAATTTGTGCTGAGATTGATAGAGTATTATTAAGTACTTTTTATATGGTAGCTATAAAGTTAACAATATTTTTTTGAAATTAATTATTGAATTGTGAAATTTCCAGAACTACTACTGCAATCTTATTTACTTTATACAATGTATAGGATATCTCTACTTAATCTTAAATTTATATCATATAGCCGTGGTTAACCAAAAATGTAATGTAAGATAGGTCTAGAGAATTTTGAGGCTTCCGCATAAGTGTACGAAGTCTCCGCACAATTTGTGCAGAGACTCCGCACTGTGCAGAGTTTGCACTTGTGCGAAGACTCCGCACAAATCGCACAATTTGTGTAGAGTCTCCGCACAAGTGCAGTAAAACTCCTCTAATCTTTTTTGGCAAAATCATGCAATTAATATTTGTTTACTTTATTATTTTATTAATTAAAAATATGCATTAAATTTAATAAAAAAAAATAACTACAAGAACTTCAATATAATACCCCAAAAAAAAAACTCCCAATAATTAAAAAAGAAAGAATCATTGTTAAACAGCAAAAGCATCTAAACATAATGGAGAAGACAAAAAATAAAAAAGTAAAACATGTGAGAGGAAAATGAACAACAAAAGGAAACTGCCAAAAATTAACAACAACTATTGTTCAGATATAAATTATTGATTACACTATACATACAAATAACTGAAATGTAAAAACTTTTATATTTGGTTTTTCCAAAAACACTCACATGATTTACTATTTCATCTAATTCTTCACCAAATTAGCAGGTGAAGAGTATAGATTTATTGTTTGGTGTTGAAAATACACAAATAGCATAAAAAAGTAAAATTAATTTTATCTTTAAGAAAAAAGCACATTTAAAAATTCAATTTCATAACCACCCTTCTTTTTTCTTTTTTATTCTCGAAATACAAAATTGTAAGTTTTCTTTTACTCATGTTTCCACAATTTTAAATTCCCTTTTTCACTAATTTTTATTTTACTTCTTTAGTATGTACCAAAATTTAGTAAGAACATCTACCCAAATTTATAATCCATGATTCTTCACAATACGTGTTTGAGCATTTGACCTGCTATAACGAACTCCTAATGTTGATGGTATACAACGTATGTGATAACGCTTCTCTGTAAATTACTGTTATTCTGTAATAAACTTTGTGCTCTATTTTCAATTTTTCAATGCAAGTTTTCCAACTTATGTAGAGTTACACACGATTTTTAGGTTCAACTCAATCATATTAACACTGTTAAACATTGAATGTCAACAATATAAGCAAAATAGTTTGTATAATCTCATATATTTCTCATTCAACAAAATACTGTTATACAATTATAAAAAAAATTTGCAATTATTTTCTTAGATCATGGAAATATTTCTGGATATTGCTTCAAATACATTCTAAAAAACTAAAATTCATACGCTAATAAAAATACGATAAATACAAAATTCGTGCAATGCACGTGACAGTGACTAGTCTTAATAAAAAACTAGCTTAAATTAAAAATCAAGAAAAATTAAGTGTGGACTCTTCAACCTCTTGGTGTGGTATAAGTTCTCAACTTTCAAAATTGAAGTTTTGGATCTCCAACCTATTTAAATTCTTTAAAACTTATTTTTTTTTTTCAAACTCATTTTAAATTACATATTATCTCCATAAAATAGTTTTTGCACGTAGATCAATAACTTTTCACTACTTTTAAATTATATTCTCCAAAAAATATTTTTTGTAAAATTAATTAAAAAAAAACTAAGCAGAGGCTTCATGTATTTCTTTTTTTGTGTTAGGAAGTGTCCATTGACGTGATTACCACATACGCCTTCCTGGATTTCTTTCATTACGTACAAGGCTTTGTCTTAACTTATTCATCTGAGCAGAGGGAGTGTGTTCCCTTGCTTAAATTGGATGTCTTCTTGCAGTATGAGCTCTTTTTCACAATTTTTTACTAGCCTTTTATCCTCGAGTCATCCCTCAAATAGGAGACAATGTCTTGCATGCATGAAATATTGTCTTATATCCATAAGATGTTCTCTTTTTTGGCCTACTGATGGTTTTGGAAATAATTTATGGAAAAATGCTTTCAAATAACTTTGTGTCTTTTGAACTTATGAATTTTGATAAAGCTTCTGCATATATATTTTTTTTCCTCTTTGGGAATTTGAATATGTTCAAATTTGTCAAAGCATTGAAGTAATTTTGTGGCTTCTATGAGGTATGAAGCCATTGTTTTATCTTTGGCTATAAACTTACCATTTATTTGGTTCATTACCAATTGCAAGTCGCTTTTTATATCAATGTTTCATGTCTACATTTATTTTACCAGCCAAAGGCCTACCAATAACGTCTTGTACTTAGCCACATTATTGGTTGCCTTAAATGCAAACATTATTGCCCTGGACTTGTTAATATTATGCTTGCTCCTGAGCTGATACCTTCTAATGTTCCATCTACCAACAATATCCACATCTTTGTTGAGGCTCTTCTTCTGGAATTTGGAACATTTAACAGTTCTGCAACAAAGTTAGCTAATGTCTGTGCTTTGATTTCAGAACATCCTTTATTATTTATTATATATTGTCCTAGGCTCTAGTGCCCATTTCATTAACCTTCTTGATGCACTAGACTTTTGTTGTACTCATTTGAGTGTGAAGTTTGTTAATGCTTCGATACTATGGCTCCAGAAATAGGGTTGCAGCTTTCACGAAGTAGTAACTAGGCAAAGGCCAATTTTCCCATGTATGGATATCTCACCTCTGCTTCTTGAAGGGCTTCGCTCACATAGTTTATTGGTAACTACTGTTGTCCTTCATTTTTTATTAATAAGATCGT